TTAAAGAACCCCAGGTGGTCCAAATTTCCAGAGCCCTCCACTACAGCGTCTCTCACAATCATCGTTAAACCTCACATATCAATCAATCGCATGTGCGCTCAGCCAAGAAAGCTCGCGCTGCTTCATTGTCGCAGCCACTGGTACATACGCGCGGCAATATGATGAACAGGTCCAGATGTTTATATTCCAAGTTCTTTGCATTTGCGCAACGATGCCAACAGAAACATGAGTATTAGCAGTACAAGAAACGATTAGCTGATATAAAGCGCTGGTGCGCGCAATGATGTCAGCACTGGACACTCCTACATAAACTTGAGCAGATGGCACCTAAGTGCGAATGACTTTAACCCAACGTCGCGGCTGTATTATAGGAATCATATGTAAGGTTTATAAAATTGGATGACCAGCACTGCAACCAGAATGAACGTTTCACGAACATTAAGGTTGGTTTGAAAAATAGTTCCGAGACCTGTCGTGGCTTTGATGAAATTCCTCATTGCCAAGCATAATGTTTGTGTTCACTTCTTCTTGGACCCTAAAGCTTATTCTTTGCATTAGTCGGGTCAACGCTGCCGATGTCGGAGTTTTATTAACGCTCACGCGTTAAAGTTGCCCATGTGCGTTCTCATCGTCCCTGGGTAGACTAGATACTAAGTGTCAATCACCTGTGGCACATAACTCTGCATACCAGTGGCTCCCACCAGCCTGCGGGTATGTGTCACTGTTTGGCAAGAAGTGTTTGACAACGTACGTGAAGGGGTTGTGACGTTATTCATATCTTGACCAGTGCGTCCTGTTCGTCAAATTGTATTTCCCTTCCATACTAATGTTAGTTCACGCCTAGTTAATGGGTTGATCATGACGACACCCAGACGCAATCGACTAGATAGATACATGGATGGATACGCAGATAGACGCAAAAAAGTGCTTGCAGTACGCAAAGAAATGCTTCGCATTTAAAACATTGAGTCAAAGATTACTTGGACAAAACGTGATTAAAAAGTGTACCTTCTTGACAAGTGTCAAACTCTTTTTAATCTTGTTTAGTCTATGTAACTTTTCACCGTATGTTTTTATCTATAGATTGCCTCAGCTATGTGTACGGTAGGCGGTTTCAATAAAACGACATTTGTTAGTGACAGCACTGTTTTTGTGTTTTTTCCCTTTGTGCGTACGTTTAAATTTAGTTGCAACCACTCGAAATATATAGTGCGTTGTTAGAAGAGAACCGTGATGTTTCATAACTTTGAACGTCTCTTATTTCGACAGTAAGTTATAGCCTCTAATCTACTCTTATGATTCACGTTGGTTATTATTTGCGAGGACAATCATCATTTTGATAAAAGTAAACTACATGAAGGGAACTTTTCACTGCGGCTGCGTAACAAACGTAAAATTTTAAATGTCTCCCAGAATGTTACCTTTTTTTCAATGTTTGGTTACGTTAGCAATATGTCGGTGATGATCAAGTGTTTTCTTTAAAAAATTAAATGAAGTATTTTCGCTTTATATTCCATTCCCGTCTTTCTTTTTTACCCTGTGATTAGTTAGAAAGATAGCTATGTGAAGGCACCACAGACAAACGAGGCGGATAATTTGAGCAAGAAATGCGAGTAGCTGTGCGTATAATAAAGAAGAATTTCTTTATTGCCTTGAAAAAAAAAATCTGCTACTCGAACAAACCTCTCATGTCGGAATACCCCCAGTACGCGTTTTCGGATGTTTTTATGTGAAGTATTTGAACAAAAATGGCCAAATCTTCTCATACTCCTAGAATGTTTCCAACTTCGTCCCGGGCGCTGTACCTGCTCAGTACTCGATGAGGGCGAGATGGTTGTGTTCTGCTACCATTTACGTATATGTGTTCATGTGTTTTTATGTGTGTTTCTATGAACAGGGTCGTTCACTCTTAATTTGTACGAACACGGCACACCATGGCCGAGCTACGCAGGGCGCCAGAGCACACAGTGCGGCCACGCATCCAAGATAGTCGGCGGAGGCACTGAGGCATTGCCTGACCTCTTATGATGCGCCAGCGTGCCATGCTTGCTTTGCAGTGAAACACGCCTGACTATCAGTATATACCAGCAGCGACTGAGCGCTTCGCAACAGCTTTACAGGAAAGCGCGCGGCGCTTGCTGCGCGGTATTCCGCTTAAATGCGATTGGGTTGTGCCTCTTTTCACTTACTCAATCCTTCTTGTTTGCGTGTATTTTGGAAAATGGCTCAGCATTGCTTGGGTGTAAAAGATTTGTCAGCGCAAAGTGACTTCGCGTAAGTGACAGGCGTTCTAAAAATGGCTCCGGATAATTTCGACTCGTGTCCCTCGCTTGTGGTAGCATATGCGAAACACTAATTTTGACCACTCATGGTTATTCAACGCGGAAAATATAACTTAACCATTACTAAACAGCTCGCCCTGATAATGACGCGAAAAGAGCATTAAACTTAAATTCATTATTAAATTGTGGATTATCGTAGCAGGACAGTACCATAAGTGTATAAGAACATCTTGCACCTTAAATACAAAAATAATTTGACCATTGTTCTCAACGGTCTATGAAGCACATAGCTTGGGAAGCAATTGCAGCCTAATAACAGCGTCTTCAGTTGTAACAATATGGGCAAGCCCATGACAGCACAAAACAGAATAGTATTTAAGTCGCTTTAAGAAGGCATAATGCAAACACCGCTGAGTGGACTCGCTGCTTGAGAAAAGGTATCAATATTTCGTGCATACTATCATAATTAGGTTTCATACATTCAGCTAAACGAAGAATGAATTGGTCTCACATAAAGTAGTGTTGAAAGGTAGGTGGAAAGACATTTGAACACAGTTATATGTGAATATTTTTTCGAAAATATTTTCGAGTTTTCTGATCTTGATGTTTTAATTTAGGTAATTCATCTTGTAAAAATAACAACATGAAATCCTGAACTTCAAAGAATCACGGCTGCTTCGCACAAGTGGTGTCAAGCCTACAAAAAACGGGAATATGGGCGGCCTTTGGTCCTCATTGCTTCTTTGTTTCTTTATTTGTTTTTCTTGGTCAATGTCTATAATTACAAAACTTCGCGAAAAGAATACATGAACACAGAAGCTCTTCACTGCACATGTCTTGTAGTCATAGATTACCAACTCGTCCAGCGTTCAGTTATCTGAAATTTATTTTCAAATTTTTTGTTTGCTCTTCTTTATTTATTTTTATTGCTTTATACTTTTTATGTATTTCTCTCTATAATTTTTGCTTCCTTTTTACTTTGTTTTATTTTTATGCGTTGTTTCACCTGAGCTACGCGAAGCGACGACAGCATACAAAATGCCGAGCCCCTGTCGTGCTCCGCACTTAGTATGATCACCAAGGCGCTCGAAGAACAAAAGGAAAAGATCTTTCTTGGCGTGCTCCATATGCTACAGGTGGCTCTGATACGTGGTTTTACCTGCGTAACGCCAAGCGACCATCACAGCATACTACGTCACACGACAGCCTGCGGCTGCTAACTGTTCCACCTTCCAAACAAACAAGCTGTTTCACTAGTCTAAGATAAACTGGTGACCACTTAAATGCGTGAGGATTCACGTAACTCTGACGCAGGGAAATATGAGTAGGAAAAGCAAAAAAAAAGACACAGCAGGGAGAAACAAGAGGCAGGACCAGTGTGACAAGATAACAAGCCACAAAAGCGGGGGGGTTTCATGCTTGATAGTGTAGCGAACAAGGGCAAGACAATTCTTCTGGGTCCATCAAGCCTGTTTTTTAGGTCACTCACTGAACAGAGTGAACAATTAGTCATGTTTTCTTATGCGCAAAGCATTCCGACATACAGTGAAGTCCTTGTTTCGTGACCGAAACGCGTTTGGTATGACTGAATTTCCAGTGACGAGAATTTCACGCACGCCTGCGTGCTGCTTCAAGCCATCTAGCGCTAGAGAACCAGAAGTGGTCAAAATCATCTACAGGCATGTTCTACAACGTCTTTCGCACAGGAAGAATTGCTATGTAAGTAAATTGTTATAAACCAGACTAATCCTAAGCAAGCAATTAACAGGGATTGGAGCACTGTAAGGTGGAACCATCCACATCGTGCCGGAATGTGCACAAAATTGCCAACATGTTTACCAGCGTAAGCTTGGGCTAGGTGGTTTGAATTTATGATAATAAATTTCACAGTGGGAGATCATAAATGAAGGAAGAGAGTAGAAAAAAGGTATCTTTCCTACACATTCCCATTTTTACCATATTCTCGTGCTGCAAAATTCGCCATCATAGATGCAGTAAGCAACTCACGCTTTCCTGCAATGCCGTTGCTACGCATGCTGATATTTGGGCGTGACTTACAGCAAAGCAAGCTCGGCGCTCGAGTGCATCAGGTGAGTCGACAAAATGCCTCAGCGCCAGCGGCGACCCCGCCAAGCGCGGCCACGGTCAACACCATTTAGAAAAATATGCCATGATGCGCTGCGCTTGTACCAAAAGTCAACGCAATTGAACATTCATAAAACTTGAAAAATTCCGTAGTAGAGGGGTTCAACGCTCCAGCAAATTTGTTCTTGGCGAACATCGATGAATGCTTCACTTAAGCAGATTTCACAAGGTGATGATTTCTAAAATCTTATCACAAATATTTTAAAAACTTCTCTACCAGAGGCTTTAGTTAGCTTTAAGAATGCGAAGCGACAAGGTAAATTCACATCAGTAAAGGATCGCCTGGATTTCGTGTGTCCACGTCTTCGTGTGTCCACATCTTATATTAGACCTCGTGAATCATTTAAACCAATAGAAAACTGTAAAAGATTTGAACTGTTATAATCAACTGCTCAAGAACACCAGGGACGAGGTAGGAGCGTGAGACGGGCGCTGGCCAGCAGTAAATGAAATTATTTGTCAGGAACTCCTACATAGTGCGAACTTAGTTTTGTAATCACCTAGTGATTTGTTTCGTTCTTTTTCAACGTTGTAACTTTCTTCCTCACATGAATTTTACCTGCGCTATTTCAGGTGTTTGTTGTGCAGACTAAAGAAGGCGTGCTCAAGCCTCGTGGGTCCAACAAATCTGAGCACGACGGTGCCGGTGTCCCAAGTCCTCCGGTGCTCCGACTCAAAGGTCAGATGGTGTCGGTGGAAGAGACGAACAGCATCATGTTCTTGTGTTCGCCGCGCGTCAAAGACATCGACGACATGCAGCGAATAGGGCTGTTCTTCAGTGATCTTGCTATACACGACCCGGCCAGGGAGCTGTTCCTACGATCTCATCACCATCGTGGAGAGCGAGAACTCATCGAGAAGCTAGATGAGGCTACCAACAGACTTCGCATGCTGCAGTCCAAACTTGATGAGGACAAGAAACGAACCGAAGAGCTACTACATTCCATTCTGCCATCTAAGGTGAGCTGTTTTACCAGCGGATATGTTATATCAGACAGACAGACAGACAGACAGACAGACAGACAGACAGACAGACAGACAGACAGACAGACAGACAGACAGACACAGACAGACAGACAGACAGACAGACAGACAGACAGACAGACAGACAGACAGACAGGACAGACAGACAGACAGACAGACAGACAGAAGAAGATAGATAGATAGATAGATAGATAGATAGATAGATAGATAGATAGATAGATAGATAGATAGATAGATAGATAGATAGGATAGATAGATAGATAGATAGATAGATAGATAGATAGATAGATAGATAGATAGATAGATAGATAGATAGGACGCAGTCTTTCCGCTAATGTTTACGGTGATTCGGATTTAATGAAATATCAAACACAGAGACTAATATTGTCGATTCACCGGGTTACCGCTTATGCTGCCAACAACAAGCTCCAGGTATTGTATATTTCGATTTGTGGCCGAGCGTAATGTGTCTGCTGAACCGAGAGCACCCTCGCCTAGCGCTGACAGTATTTATTATTTATATGTGGGGTTTAACGTCCCAAAACCACCATTTGATTATGAGAGATGCCATAGTGGAGGGCTCCGGAAATTTCGACCACCTGGGGTTTTTTAACCTGCACCCAAATCTGAGCACACGGGCCTACAGCATTTTCGCCTCCATCAGAAATGCAGCCGCCGCAGCCGGGATTCGATCCCACCACCCGCGGGTCAGCAGCCGAGTACCTTAGCCCCTAGACCACCGTGGCGGGGGTAGCGTTGACGGTAATGGGCATCGCTATGGCAACAAAGTGCAGCTGGGTTGAAGGTGGGTGTACGACCGCCACAACCGAGGTGCGCCTTGCGATCGAACGCTCGCTCATTCTCGTCCCTCACTTCGCTGCACGCAACACGTGATTTTGATGGCAAGCCAAAGAACGATTGCTCACGGTCGGGGTGTGGGCTCTTCACACATCAAATGATCGTGACGTCACCGTTCGTATGAAGCCTGATGCTCTGCCTGCGTGCCGCGGACTCAAACTCGAAGTTACCGTAGGCTCAAAAATTAGGCACTATATAGGAGGCAGCTGCGGAAAGAGAGCCGCGTCTCCAAGCCACGTCGAAAAACAACTGCTGACGGAGAGCGAATCGAAAATGCTGTACTAATCGCGAAGCAAAACGAATTCAACGAGCCGAACATGAACCCGAATATCTGGGAAGACAACACTAGCGACAATAGACGCAAGATTGGCAGGAATTTAGTTACCTCTTACGTTATGTAGATGTATATATGGCATGACAATTGTAAAATGAACGTAGTAGCTCGATCCATCTTGTTGAATTTATCTTACAACTTGATACAGCGCAGCCTAGATAACCTGTGGCAAAACCTTAGCAAAACTATCGAAGAATATAAAATACAGCCCCACTGTGCCTGCAGTTTCACACCACAAACACCATGCAAATATAGTCGCGTTCTGTTTTCACAGTAATATCCATGTGTTTGTAATATCAATCAGCTAGCTCGCGAGGCCTGAATAAGGAGTGCCAGTTATGTTGTGAAATCAGCTTTTTGCTTCTATGCTCGTGTCGTAAAAAAGAAAAAAAATGTATTTGGCCATATCCACGTGTGAAGCGCATGTTACGGCATGTGGCCGTTGAATAAGCATGAATACTATTTTGGAGGGCAAAGTAAACTCAGACTGATTTAGAACCTGATTTTCGTTTTACTGTCATGAAGTGACTTTATTATATAGCAGCATCCTATCACTAACTTCCCTGGTTGCGTTGAAGCATTACTTCATCTTTCAAGCAGCAAAATAATCAAAAATATAACACAGTACGTCTCGTTCAATTATTTGAAAATTCAATCTCGGCATTTGCGGATTTTCATTACGTTCCCCGACGGCTCTCCGTAACACTCTCCAAGAAGTTGGCGAGCTAAGCCTCCTCGCTTTCCTGACGCACAAAACGTGAGCGAAAAATAACACGACTTTCACTAAACCAATTCAATACCTTAAATAAACAGAAAGGGATACTACTGGGCGAGGCTTCAATGTAACCCGATTTCCGAACGAGATACGCTCAATGATGCCTCACCCATCACTCCTGTTTCGGGGCAAGAAAACAGAAAGTTGCAAGCGTCCCACTGGAAGCGAACTCAGAATGCCTGCTCGCAAGACGGAGTCTTTTTAATACACTTCCTTTCTTGCTCGTTTTACTATTGCTTTCCTGCGCGATAGACCAAGAAGACGACGCGCCACGCCATGTAATATTATGCATAAATGAAGAGAGCGAGAGGGAACACCTTCTCAATTTTTAATGATGGCTGCAGATTGGGCACGAAATATCTTATGCGTTATAGGGGGTATGGGACCGGAGGCCTGCTTGAGGGTGGGCGACTTCGAATGTTCTTTTGGGCTAGGATCAGCGACTGAATTATGCGGAAAATGGCAGCTCCAGATTCTTGAACTCCTATCTCTGGCTGATGCCTCCGTTGAGCAGGCACCGTAGAATTTTCAGGCACTGCTCCGTCTAAAGTCATGAAAACCTATACACCTACACACTTCCGTTACAGATGACGCTTGCTCATGAGTATTTTCTGTTTACTTCGAATGACTTTAGGTGGGGTGACACTACTTACACCGTACTAGTGTTTCGATGGTCTCTATTACCTTTACCTTTTGTCTTTTTTCAGAAATTAAATATTTGTGACTAAGAAATTACGATGACTCAGTGGAAGTAGCACCTCATAAGTCAGAGCGGGTGGTCGGCATCACTTCTAAAAAAGTTTCATCCATTTGAGCTGGGCCATGAATCTTCTTAGTAATGAGTTCGTTTTAAGGGGTGCTGGAGAGAATGCCTATATTGCTACATTCAGACAATGTAATGTTCAAATCCTTGCGTGCACTGCTTACGAGAATATTAGTTTTATGGGAGTAATTTAAAAGCCACAAATTTCGTTTCTAAAGTAATTACTGAACCTCTGCCAAATAGGTGATAAAAAAAGACCATGAATCTAAGGAAGTGCAAATGATCATTATTTATAGGTTTTTTGCAGTGCAGAATATCGGATACAAATAGAAGGGAATAAAGCCAAATGACAAATCAACTTCGTTTTCTTGTCAGGACATAACCTACTACTTTCTGATAACGTCTTTAATGTTATACCAATCAAACTATTGTGTTAGTCGGTCTGCCCATCCACTTGATTGCGCAAATACTTTTTCGCACTCTAGAGAGTGTTACGCAGCGCCGGTCGCAGCAAGGACAGACAGTTGAAAACGTTTTTTTTTTTATTGCAGCTGGCATCATGTGCTACGTAACTTTATTATTAGCAGGCATCCGACTAACACTGTCCTCTGTACAATTAGTAGGTAATTTTTTTATTGAGTGAAAGGTTAGAAAATGACACCGAAGATAGGTACAAAATAATGTTGTACGAAAAGACAAAGATTGAACAGTTTCATATGACCAGCTGTTTACACAGAACGACATATTTTGTATAACCCTACAGCTTACAGTTGCATGACGATGTCAACAGCAACATGGGTGCTAAAAACATCAGTAGCGGTAAGTCGATATGTAGCGCTTGTGCTCACAAAGATGGTAGCCCTTTACAGTGCTACATAAGTCAAATGCAATGTAAGGCGCTTAACTAGAACTCACGTTATTCCGACGTGAAGACTGTAATACAGGATTACATATGTAATTTTGAGAAAACTATCTAGCTAGCACTGCAACTAGCACTAATTTTTCATGAAAATTAGGGTAGTTTTAAAAGGTAGTTCCGAGACGTGGCGTCGCTCTGTGCTTGAATACTTCATTGCAATGCCGAATATTTGGGTGCCATCTCTGCTTCGACCCTGATATTTATTTGCCTCCATCAGGTGAACGCTGCCGATGTGAGCTTTTTTTTTTCACACTATCGCGTCCAAATTACCAACGTCTGTTCTCGCCGTTCCTGTATAGATATGAACTGTCAATTACCTACATAACCACATACCGTGGTTGGTGGTTTACAAAATTTAGTTACGCGTGCCTCGTGAATAGACTTCGACGATATTCGTGACAGGATTGTCTCGTTATTAATGTGATGACCAGCGAGTAACATCTCATACTAATTTCGGCTTTCCCCAAGTTAAGGGGCTGATCGGCTGAGAGCACCGAAATATAGACGGCTTGCTAGTAAGATAGCTAGATAGATAGATAGAGATAGATAGATAATAGATAGATAGATAAATAGATAGATAGGATAATAGATAGAAGATAGATGATAGATAGATAGATAGATAGATAGATAGATAGATAGATAGATAGATAGATAGATAGATAGATAGATAGATAGATGATAGATAGATAGATAGATAGATAGAGATAGATAGATAGATAGATAGATAGATAGATAGATAGATAGATAGATAGATAGATAGATAGATAGATAGAAATACTCAAAATGCCTGAAGTTTGAAAAGCTATGCTTGCATTTAAAAATTCTTCCACTTATTGTCCTGAGTAGATGATATAGTAAGGACTGCACGATATGAACGACAGCGACGGGTGGCCGCATTTATGTGCTGACGTCTAATCCATGATTCATTTGCAAAAAGCAAGCAGCGATGTCATTCCACCATGCTCTCGAACGCCCGACGGTGATAAGCGACCGCGCAAGAAATACCGCATATGAAACGTTGACGTGTACCGTCCCTATACGGTGCCTAATTAGAAAAAGTTTCCTGAAGATGTCCGCACCACACTAAAATTATTCGCTGCCCGTTTGAATACCTCAGTGACGGCGTCAAGCGTTTCCTGGACGTATTAGAAGATTTAAAGGGCTCCTAGACACGTTTGCGTCGCTTCTTATAAGAACCTAGATTTTATCGCTGTGATACCTTCTGATGCTTTCAGGTGTCCTTTTGAGGCTTAGTTCTTTTGCTTTTTGATCGGCTGAAAGATTGCCTAGAAACGTGATGATATAATGGGAGAAGTTAGATTTTATT